TTTTGGCTCTTATGAACTTCTTCTAATTGTCTTCACTTTTGACTTGAATTTACATATGAGCAATTGATGGTCTGTTCCACAGTCAGCACCTGGCCTTGTTTAGGATGAAGATATTGAGCTTTTCCATGCAGATGTAGTTGATCTGATCCCTGTGTATTTTATCTGGCAAGGTCCATGTGAATAACTGCCATTTATGTTGAGGAAAGAGGTATTTGCAGTGAACAAGTTGGTCTTGCAGAATTCTATCATATGATCTCCAACATCATTTCTATCACCAAGCCCATATTTCCCAATTATCAGTGAGTCTTCTGTGTTTCCAACTTTCTCATTCCGTTCACCAATAACAATCAATACATCTTGATTACATGTTTGGTCAATTTCAGACCATAGAAGTTGGTAAAAATCTTCAATTTCTTCATCTATGGCTTTAATGGTTGGTGTATAAATTTGAATAATGGTAGCATTAACTGGTTTTCCTTGTAGGTATATGGGTATTGCCCTATCACTGACCACATTGTACTTCAGGATAGACTTGAAACATTTTTTGTGCCGAAGAATGCCATGCCATTCCTCTTCAATTTGTTATTCTTGGCATAGTAAACCAAACCAAACTCACTGACATAGAGTCATATCCAACTCATAGCAACCCCTCCTTGGGTTTCCAAGGTGGTATCACTATGGAAGTAGATTGCCCAACCTTCCTTTCAAGGAGTGCTTGGTGGGTTTGAATCTCTAGCCTTCTGGTTAGCAGTCAAATGCCTTTAGTAAATCATAGCATTGTCTGATTCAAAATGGCCCAAATCAGTCCATTTCATCTCACTAATGCCCAGGATATTGATCTTTATTCATTCTATTTCATTTTTGACAACCTCCAATTTTCCTAGATTCTTACTTAGTACATTCCATTTTCTGATTATTAGTGGAGCTTGCAGCTGTTTCTTCCCTTTTGAGTTGTATCTTATCAGCAAATGAAAATCTGTTTACCCCATCCATGTCATTAAGATGGACTGGACTCTATTTTGAGTAAACAACGCTTCTCCAGTTGTATTTGAGTGCCTTCCAACCCGAGGGGCTCATCTTCTGGCAATGTATTTATATAGAGATTGGAGTTATGTATAAACTCAAAAAACTCACTGCCATTGAGTTGATTCTCACTCATAGTGACCCTCTTTGGATTTTCAAGATGGTAATTCTTTGCAGAAATAGATTGACCAGTCTTCCTTCTGTGGAGTGGCTGGTGGGTTTGAACTGCCAACCTTCTGGTTAGCAGTCAAATGCCTTAGGTACTGTGCCACCAGAGCTCCGTGGGGCTATATATAAATAGCTCCAATTTGTACATAATTATGCAATATGAAAAATATATGTAAAATACACATTTTTCCTTGGAAACCCAAGGAGGGGTCACTATGAGTCGGGTCTGACTTGATGGGACATAGCAACAACAACAATGGACTGTTGCATCCATAGTGCTGATGTAAAAAACTCTACATATTATACTTTGTTATACTGACAGTTGGCAAACATATGTAGGAATATAAATGTAATTGCATAATGTACCAAATAGGCAAATTTATTTATCATAATATATACAAAACATATTACACCTGGTTTCTGGCAAAGGTAGGCCATAAATTGTTAACTTCTTGTCTATTTCCATCTTAATAATGTAATGAAGTACACAAAGACTGAATACTTTAATCTGCTTCTAGTCATCTGACTTAATTAAAGTAAGATCGGGGTAATTGAAAATACATGATAAATCTATAGTTTGTGCAATTTAATTCTGGTTTTAATAAGAAATAGTGTTGGTAATATATCAGACAGTGTTTCACTGCTATTCATAAGGTTTTCACTGGCAATTCTTTGAGAAGTGAATGGCTTCTTCCTTCTTCTGAGTCTGTCTTAGTCTGGAAGCTCCACTGAAACCTGTCCACATGGGTAGCCCTGCTGGCATTTGAAACACGGGAGCTATCCTCCAGCCTCACAGCAACATGCAAACCACCACAGGATGACAACTGGCAGACAAGTTCATCTCCTTTAGTTATTCCAAACTGCTCCACTCACTTCCTGGTCTCCCTGAGCTCTTCCAAACAGTCACCAGCTCACTTTCTAGTCTCTCTGAGCTGCTGTTACTTGTACTGGTAAAAAGTACTAAACAATTTGGGTGGTAATTAGACAAGAAGAAATAGTTTCCATTTTTTGTAAGAGAACATATAATCACATGACTTTGCTAATGAGTGAATCAATCTTGTATAATCATCATAACGTGTGGTAATTTACTCTAAGAAGATAACATGCTTCATATGTTTTCAGGTTTAGAATATTTTCTCTTCCATTATGGTCAGACATAAAAATTCTAACTACAGCAGAAAGAGACAGACTAGGCAAGATGCAGTGCTAGAAACTATACATACCAGGTAAGACAGAGTCTACATGGGGTATTGAGATAGGCAACAGACAATAGCCATGGGGGACAGCTTTTGACTAGAAACGTAGCAGCAGATGAGGGGATTTTTGCCAAAGTCATAGAAACACAGAAGTGGTTAATCTAGGAGAGAACAGTGTTTCCAGATGGTGCAAGGTGAAATGTCAGGAAAGTTCGTCATCAGGTAGTAGAGGCTCCCTTTCAGTGTTGTTTTAAGTGACCAAAGGGTGAGTACAGAAGTACAAAGCCCTGCTGGCTTCCGTACTAAAATTGTTGTGTCCTGGATATATTATAAAGGCAGGAACCTATATAAAGAACCACAAACTATCATTAGATTCAAGACTGCTGTAATAAGAATGTTAATACCAGTTATTAAAAGCTTTCTAAGTACCAAGATCTCTGCAAAGTATTTTGTATTTAATTTTTCAGTTTATTCCAAACTGAGTTCTGTGACCCTGCCACTGTAGGGCATATGAAAAGCATAAAGATGATAATTATGCATAAAACAATGATGGATATGAATGATACATAATTAGGATCAAACTTACTGATTTTCAGATAAAATCAAGGAAGATATATATTGACATGCATTAATATTTTGTTATTATAAAGAGTAAAAAAAAACAGTTTGGAAACACTCAAGTGTAAGAACGATGTTATTTCTCAGCTCTTAAAAAATCTGTCTGGATTTTATATTATTGAGAAGACAATGAAGCATAATATACAGATTCTCTTTGAGAAAAAAGTCTGTGGATCAGTATTTTAATACCTCAATTTGCTTATCAAGCAAAAGGATAAACAAAGATACTTTTATATCTCTATAAGCTCAGGCAGTTTTCTACCAATATATCTGCACCATCCTCACAATCCTTGATATGTTTGACCCTATCGTTGCAGTCACAGTGTCAATCCATCTTGTTCAGGGTCTTCCCCTTTTTTGCTGACCCTCTGCTTTACCAAGCATGACATCTTCTCCGGGGATTGGTATGTTACATAGCTCAATTAAATAAACTGCATATACATCTCAATTTTATATATTATTGAGTAGATGTATAACCTTTGTGGAGAATTTCCATAAGAATAGTCTGAAAAGAATACTGAGGTTCCTTCATTGACTGTAAATTCATCCTGCCACTTCCTATGATTCTCAGAGAAGCCCTGACTAACAATGCTGTAGAAGAGATCCTTTTCAAGACTAACTAGTTTACAGACTAGGGTTACAGACTAAAATAGTGATTGCAGTTCTGAATTCCTCAGACTTCATCAGACTGCTTTGCAAAACAGAAAGACCCTGAGATAACCTTCCTCTTCATACTCTCTCTTGACATTGCAAGAACAAAAGAGGACTACAGACTACTGAGCCATTGTTATCAGAGTTAAAAAGAAGAAAATAATTTTTATATAATTATGTACTTAATGGGAGCTCTGGTAGCATAGTGGCTAAGGCACTTGACTGCTAACCAGAAGGCTGGCGGTTCAAACCCACCAGCCACTCCTCGGAAGGAAGGTTGGGCAATCCTACTTCCGTAGTGATACTGCCTCGGAAACCCAAGGAGGGGTCGCTATGAGTCAGGGCTGACTCGATGGCACATAACAACAACAACAACATGTACTTAATAATCATCATGAAATCTTAATCATCATTGTTATAAATAAATTATTCACAACAGGAACAAAATAATAGAAATTCTATTAATAGTATTAATTTGAATTCTCTAACAATAAATCCTATTGTACCACTACATTTTTTGGATATTTTGAAAATTGATGTAGTCAAGCCAAGCAAAACCATATTAGAAACTTAAGTGTGGAATCTACTTTTAATTAGGTATCTAGAGAATATAATTTTAGAGACTTGTTTAGTAACTGACAGGATATTTAATAAAATTCACATGATATACATATGTTATAGAAAATGGCTTAAACTTCTTTATTAACATTATTGTCATTATGGGGCCATGATGACCCCATGGAAACAGAACAAAACTTTGCCCAGTTCTCTCTTCTATCATGATATGTTGGAGTGTATTGTTGAGGCTATGGGCCAATCCATTTCAATGAGGGTTTTCCCAGTCTCTGCTGCCCATCTACTGTACCAAACATGATGTCGTTTTCTAGCAATTGATCTTTCCTGAAGATGTGTTGAAAGTAAACAAGAAGAAGTCTAGGCATCCTCAGTTCAAGGGGGATTCATTGTCTCTGTAGTTGGGAAATTGGTTATAAAGTGGTAGGAGTAAGGACAACCTGTTATTGAGTTCCATGTGTTTTACAGCTATCTTAACTTGTGAGCTTTCTAAAATCAAGTACAGAAAATAAAGTGCCAACAAATAATAAGCATTTAAAATGTTTGTCAAATTGAGGCTTCATCAAAACCTTACAAAACAGACGACATTGTCTCTATTTTGCAGTTGAAGAAAGAGAATAAAAGAGATGAACTAATTTTCTCAAACTCACACAGCAGTAAACCTGTTCATCTGATTTGAAAATTCCCATAGATAACTCTCCTATGCTATGATTTTTTTTTTGTTTGTTTTAAACTAGATACTCTTTTATTTGCTGAATTTTATATTTTCAGGTATTTTCTTATACTGCTGACAAAGAAATCAGAACCGATGACTTATGCTTGGATGTTTCTAGACTCAATGGACCAGTAATCATGTTAAAATGCCACCATATGAGAGGAAACCAATTATGGGAATATGATGCTGAGGTATAGTATCTTCCTTTATTTACAGATTATTTCAAGCTTAAGATCAGTTATATATTTCAAATACATTTAAACTATTTTTTTTCTACATTGGCTGAACTGTATTTTCAAACATAGACAGTCATATATAATAACATTAGGATGGCATATCATAGTTCTTTTTTTTAAAAAACTAGTTCTCTAGTACACTACATGGATTCATTTTATGATAACTATTTATGATTTTTTTTTTTTTTTTGCCATGTACCTGTTCAATGTAAAATGGGCAAGAGGCAAGCAAAGCTTATCTGACAATTATGTAAGAAGATGTACATAGCAGGACAATATTGACAATATTTTAAAACATTAAATTTTACACTATTATGAACTGTGGTGTTTATGCATCCCTACATAAAAGAAAAATGTTGGCAATATTGCACAAGATTGACATGAAATCTCTTTACAACAGCAAATGCCTTGCATATTTCAATAAACTAATTAGGTGCATAATCAGCTGAGCAGCCTCTTCTCAATAAGTACAACTTTCTGGCAGAGGAGGGAAGAGAAAAACTACAAACTCACTGTTGAGATTTCATAGTCAAGCAGTGTGTAAAAACCAGATCAGCCATCAGATGGAGCTAATAAAAAAGAAATATTTTCCTCTCCACGAGGAAGATGCCTTGAAACAGCTTCATTTCTTTCAGTTCCCTTTGCTTAGTAAAATGAATTGGTCTCTGTGTTACAATACCTACATTATTATTAAATGGTTAGTGATTTATTTAAAAGAAGAAATAACTTTATTTCTTCAAGATAAATAATACAACTAGAGATCAATGAGCTTCACACATGCAATGTTCTACTTGAGCTGCAAGAGGAGTATTCTGAAAATCACTACAGAAGAGAAATATTTTGAAAACAACTACAGACTTTTGGTGGTGTTAATATTTTGACAAGGTCTTCTTTAAAAATGTTTTTAATGTCATTTTTATTTACATAATATCATAGTTTCATAAGTGGAATATCAGAAAATCTTATAAAAATATATTGAAACTGGTTTGGTAAGCTTAAATTTAGGGACTAAAATTTAAATATTGCTAGGGTTTTGGATACATAATAATTTTTTTTCTCATATATATTATTTTTTCCTGGGGCATAATTAAGGACCAAAAACCTACTGCCTTCAAGTCAATTCTGACACATAGTGACCTTACAGGACAGGGTAGAACTGCCCCCATAAGGTTTCCAAGGCTGTAAACATTTACAGAAACTGAGTGCCATATCTTTCATGGAGCAGCTGGTGGGTTCAAACTGCCAACCCTTGAATTAGCAGCTGAGTGCTTTAACTACTATACCACTAGGCTCCTCATAATTAAAGACAAACACCTGAAACCACTCTATTTTGCATCAGAACTTTCTGTCCTAACTTATCTGCCTTCTTAAAGTCTTATTCTTTGCCTGCCATTTTCTTCTGTTTAACTCTTGCTGTATTATCACCACCCTTAGCAGCAAGCTTACAGAATACATTTCCTCTAAGTACATGTAGCTGTATTTGGAACCTTAATCATCTCTCTGCCTCTTATAGACAGACAAGTACAGTTAAATGCATGAATAAAGTAGAAATACATTCATGTAATATATTTTTAATAAAAAAAGAATTGTTGATTTTTGTCTTTGTTAACCAGTGCTGCTATAATCGAAACAGCACAAGTGGATATCTTTAACAAACAAATTTATTCTTTCACAGTTTAGGAGGCCAGAAATGAAAATTCAGTTTACAGCTCTAAGGAAAGACTTTCTCGGTGATCTCTGGGGGAAGATCCATGTCTTCATTCAACATCTGTGGGCCCAGAGTCTCTTGGAGATCATGTTTATTGGCATCAGTTTTCCCCTGGGTCTGGGAGGTACTCAGCATAGGGACCCTGGGTCCAAAGGATGCACTCTGCCCCCAGATTTTCTTTCTTGATGGTACTGAGGGCCCTCTTTCTCTGCTTTCTTAATCTCTTTTATATCTCAAAAGAGATTGACTCAAAGTACAACCTAATCCTCTGGATTGTATCCTGCCTGATTAACATAAATACCACTACTCCTGCTTTCGTAACATAATAACTCACTGCTGTCAAGTCAATTCGACTCATAGTGACCCCTCCTTGGGCTTCCTAAGTGTTATCTCTACAGAAGTAGATCGCCCAATCTTCTTTCCGAGGAGTGGCTGGTGGGTTTGAACTGCCAGCCTTCTGGTTAACAATCAAATGGCTTAGGCACTATGCCACTAGAGCTCCCATTAATATAATGTTGTTGTTGTTGTTGTTATGTGCCGTCGAGTCAGCCCTGACTCATAGTGACCCCTCCTTGGGTTTCCGAGGCAGTATCACTACGGAAGTAGGATTGCCCAACCCTTTTTCTGAGGAGTGGCTGGTGGGTTTGAACCGCCAGGCTTCTGGTTAGCAGTCAAGTGCTTTAGCCACTATGCTTATAGAGATTAGTATTTACAATGAATAGGATAATGACATCAGATCACAAAGTGGAAGAAAATTACATAATACTTAGAATCATGGCTTAGCCAATAGTTGGCTCATAATTTTGGGGGTACAATTCAATCCATGATAATGTTGGTACTATTTAGTTTCTACCAGGAGCCCAAGACTTTATTGAGATTATGCTAAAAATAAGAAACATAGTATATTTTCATAAAGAAAAGGGATGATTGTACTTACATTTTTATAAGATGAAGCAATGTTGAATTTCAGAATGCCACTTTTAATCTTTAAACTTTTCTATAACTCCTGAATAGGAGCTCTGGTAGCATGGTGCCTAAGGCACTTGACTGCTAACCAGAAGGCTGGTGGTTCAAACCCACCAGCCACTTCTCAGAAGGAAGGTTGGGCAATCTATTTCCATAGTGATACTGCCTTGGAAACCCAAGGATGGGTTGCTATGAGTCAGGGCTGACTTGATGGCACATAACAACAACAACATAACTCCTGAATAGACACAGTCTTCTATAGTCAAAACTTACACTTATTCATTTCTGAAATGACAGCTATTGGAAATCAAATGTATAGTTTTGTTCATATTTTCTGGTAACTAATCATTGAATCCTAAGGTATTTTAAAAGAAAAGTTAAAAAAAAAAATAGGTAGCTTCACCTCATACTGAAAAAATATATATATATAAATTTACTATTTTGGAAGACTACTATATATCTGTTGCAGTATTTTTAGAGCATTCTAATATTATATGTCATGTAAGCTTTGTTTCTAGAATTCATGGAAATGCTTACACCATAAATATTGAGAAATTTTTATTTTTTTTAAATAATCATTTTAATAACATACGGCATGATCTTATTTACTCATCTATATGTTTATGTTTTTAAAATTAAATTGTGATGTTCAACTTGTCTAATGACACCATTTTGCTGGATTTTAAATTGTGTAAATCATGATGTAGAAAAAACACATGAGAATAGAATACTTATAGAACTAGTGCACTGTCTTTCTGGAAATTTCAATTTTGAAGTAACAGATTGATTTTATTTTTGAGGAGATTATAAACAAGTAGATGATTTTAAAAAAAATAGTTGAAATGTAATATTTATATGTTATGATTTTCTTTTCTTTCAAGTTTTAAGGTTAGGATCCTTTTAGCCCACAGAATAGTCCAGGCCCTTATCATTCAAAGTGTGATTCCAGCAGCCTCAACTAGGAACTTGTTAGAAATGTAGATTCTAAGACACTGCCTCAGTCACAATAAACCATAATTTGCTTTTCTTTTTCTTTAAAACAGGTAATTTGTATGCACATTAAAGTTTGAGAGACAGTCTAGACAGTGGCCAAACATTTACTTACCTTTGTTAGTCTTTTTGTACACTTTGCAGGAAATATTGCAAAGTTAGGAAAAGGCATAAATACACTTGGAAAACGGTAAGGCTTCCCCAGGCAATGTGAGCAAGAGGGTGAAAGGTGGTGAGATGGGAAAGAAGATAAGTACTAAGGAGCTCTGTTCTTCTCATATACCAACAAGTAGAAAATAGGCAAGTGCTGCACGCTATTTCTTTCATTTAATTCTTTATCTTTTGCTAACAAGGGCAAAATTATTCTTCTTTGGGAAACTTCTGAGGTGGTGCAATTTCAAAGCCAAATAAATCTGTGATGAAGATCATAGAGTTACAGACCTGAAACTTATTTTAAATTTCTCTCTCTGTTCAGGTTTTAACAGAAGGAAGCTAAAGCACAAAGCCCACCAGTAGTTGAGCCAAGATTTAGCTTCTAGTAAAGTATTCAAAGAAAGCTAGTTATCAGTGTAATTTTGAATCTCACAGTATGAACAGCAGAAATACTCCATCACCTTATCTCCTACAGTCCTTTCAGTCTTAGGAAGTCAAGTCAGAAATAGAAAGAAACAGAAATAGTGTCACCAAAACACTGTGAGTCAAAACAGGGAGTCTATCTAATTGTTTCATTTTGCTCACTTCTTAGGTGAGTGAGGGGAAAGAGAAGATTATTGGGAATTTATAATATTCCATACCATATTTATTTTTATTTTCTCATTTAACTATCACAATAGTCTTAAAAAGAAGACATTTTAATTATCTGTAATGTAGAAATTAGTAAAAGGAAATTTAGAATGTTTAATAGCTTATCTATGATAACACAGAATTCCTGGGTGGTGCAAATGGTTTAAGTACTTGACTTCTAGCCAAAAGTTTTGTGGTTCGATCCCACCCAGAGGCATCTTGGAAGAGAGGCCTGATGACCTACTTTTGAAAGGTTATGGCCTTGAAAACTTATGGAAGAGTTATACTCTGTACACATGAGGTCACCATAAATCAGAATCAACTCAACAACAACTAGCAATGCCAACAAGGTTGTACACCCCAAGTTTCTAGTACTAAATCCAGAAATCTTGCTATTATACTACATTTTGTATTAATATAATTGAAAAATTAGAAGCAATTAGATGATTTCAGTGGTGTTATCAGCTAACTGTAGAGTATTACAAAGGAAAGAAATGATCAAATGCTA